AAATATCAATTTCGCAGATGCGAAACTTCCGACTCCGCCATTCGCGTGTATACATTTTCTTAGCGTACCGCCGCTCCTTCTTATATTTTCGCATCCGAGCGGCGAGATCCCCCCCGCGGTTATCCGAGCGAAATGTATGCGTCCGCGATGGGGTGGATTCGAGGGAAACTTTTCTCGCGCAGCGAGAATCCCCCGGTACGAAGGGAATCGGAATCAAGTCACGACGGAGGCGGAGCGAGGCGGAAAATGCGGATTATGCCGGATCGCCGAGGTGCTCGCAACGATGCATACTCACGGCGAACAGCGAAACACCAATACCGAAATGAAAAGAAAACAATTTACCTGGTCGGTGAAAGCTGGCGAGAGCCCCCCTGGCGCACTAGTCGATATCCCGGACCGCATTCAAACGGATGCAAATTCGGATGCGAATTAGTTTGCCCCGGGTGGCCGGGTTGGCCGCGTGAACGCGACCGGCCGCGATAAAAGCCGCAACGAGGCGCCGATCGATGGTGGCTTTTAATCCGTCGGATTAAAAGGATTATCGCTTCGTCCCCGGCGACTCGACGAAACTCCCGAGAGACGGACCGTCGGCGTCGACCGCGCGTTCAAAAACCGCCGACTGCGGCCGGCGAACATGGCGGCGCGTCGACCTAACGGTGGCGACGCCTCGCGGCGGCGCGACGAAACAAATGGCGTACCGCGACACTGACAAGCGATGGTAACGTTGAGATGTAATATGAAGAATAATGGAAAGCCATCTGGTTTACCGACACAACCATTTATAAAATGATATTTTTAAATCCTCTTCTCTTTTTTTGTAAAGTCGACTGTCCCTGATTTTGTCTTTATGCGTACTTTAATCGTATGGAGGAATCTTGTAATGTATAACCAATTTCAAATTTAGTTAGAACTACGATTTGAAACTTTCAAATACCAATATCTTTTTTTATTAGACTTCTGAACTGAGTGTTTTAAGTATGAAAATGTTCTGCTATGCGGTCCGCAACTAATCCTGGTATTATTTTGTGCATAAAAGCTAATAAAAAGAATTACCAGCGCAAAAACTATACAATTTGACTGTGTCGAGCGACACTTTTCGAGAGCGATATTAATCAGACGACGAGAAATAAATTCATAAAAATTAGTTCGTGTCCGTGTTATATCGAGCGCTTTTAATTTAGTAACACAAATCGAGCGACGAACGTCGTTTTATCTTTGGCCGCGTTCAGCAAAAAGACACTGCTTCGCAACTGTTGTAAAAATCCTGAATCTAATCGGCGTATTATGCTTTTAATTATGGCAGAATCTAAGAGCATACTCTAATCAAACTTACGAATTTTACAACTGCAGTTGCAAAGCATCTTTTTCTGCTGAACGCAGCCTTTCTTGACTTCAGTAGGCAGTATTCTATTCGTTAATATCATTCAACCCAGTGAGAAATGACTCGTCGATCGATATTAAAACAAATCGACATCGATCGACGAAGCATTTCCCACTGAAAATATCATTGCAGTAACTAGTAGAATTTTATCTATCTTTTAAACTATCGAATTATATTATCTCTATCCCTGACTATCCGAATCCCTACCTAGCCGTATTCCGATCTATAGATCTACTTATCCGTTTTCTGTCTGTCCGTGTTTCAACACAATGAACCTATAAATCTTTAATTAGCCCCGACGTGATTTTATAGAGATTTGACTTGGAGTTTAACGCACCTGCGGGATTTAATGGGGGTTTCGCTCTCGCACGTATGCGAGAATGTATGTACATAGAAGCGTAACCCACCCAAATTGTAACAAATAAAAAGAAATCAATTCGTCGTATCTAGTCTTTCTTCGTTGGGCCAGATTGGACCTACCTTTCGTTGCTCCTGGCCATACAGTCTGGTCATTTTGACCAGAGATCAGGAAGGAAGAAAAAACTCCTTCCACAGTCGGTTTATCACCGACAGGTATTTCGTGCGGTTCGAACTATACGCGAGCATCGAGCGTATCGAAAAATGCACGACCACGAGAGAAGTTATTTGAAGAAGAAACTTAATTTTAAAAACTTTATATAAATATAGTGCGTAAAACTGGTTAATGTATTACTTTACTTCCGTTTTCAAGAATATCGACCGTGACTCTCTTCGTGACTCGATTTTTTTAATATAAAATTCAAGCATAAATAGAGAAAAAAATGTACTTCGCGTTACATTTATTTTAATTACATTCCGCGATAAAGTAAAATTTATAATATGGATGAAATTTAACGATTAATAATTTCTTAAAAATTTTGAGAAAACCAGATCACGAAAACCGACCGCAAAAATACGCGATGCGTGTGACTATTCATGTATTCATGCGAAACACTTTTAGACGGAAGCTACGCTCATTAAAGTTTAGCACGTGATGCGATACGCGACGTGAAAATGCGCCCTAATGCGGGGTCTACAATGCGAGTCGCAGAGTCGTAGTTCTAAGAATAATCGACTGCGATTGGTCAATTCCGTTAGACACATAAGAATAAGAAAGTAGACTCCGCATAAGGACTGTTCTACAATACGTCGCATGTCGTAATCGGATGTCGAACGCACCGAGTTGTCATCTGTCGTTTGATGTTGTCGCAAGCTGACTGTGGCTGATGGCAGAGAACAATCCGTAAACGCTTAAGACTGTCTCAGTCGCAGACGTAAGGCAAGGCAGAGAGAAACGTAAGTCGTATACCATAGCCTTTCACGACTTACGTTTCTCTCTGCCTTGCCCTACGTCTACGACTAAGCCAGTCTTAAGCGTTTACGGATCGTTCTCTGCCACCAGCTTGTCGCTGTTGGGACAAGAGATGGTCATGTCCCATCTTTTCCGATCTACGCTACTATCCCATACAACACAAAAGCTTGCAACAACATTGCTGCAACATTGCAACACTGCGTATTGCAGTGTAATGGTACATAGATATTGCAGACATTATTTTACAATATTACTTGAGTAATGTTGTAGCAATATTGTTTGTACATACAATTATGTTTGTAATATGTATATTGTTTCCCCGTCTCACTTTTATAATTTACTAGAAATGACAAAACGGGCGCATCGCGCGCGTAGTTTGTAGTTGAGCACTGTATATTTTTAAGAATTTGTATACATGCAAAGAAGTAATTGTATGCACAATTTAAAATAAAACGCGTTCGACACATCCGATTACGTCAATTTAAAATAAAAAGCAATTTATCACTCACTGATACGATTTGCAACAGCAGAGTTGTACATCCTTAACTATGTATGTTAAACTGTAACAATACAAAGATGTACACGATTATTATACACTAATTATGTAAAATCGAAATTATCGTATTAAATATACTTTATATTTTATATTTCTTTAAATAAGTACTTATTAAAATAATTATATAAAATACTGAAAAAAATCTTCCATTTAAATATAACATAAACTCACAAAATTTTATACGTGTGGTTTTGTCTCTAACACTTATTCGAATCCTCGTTCGAATCGTTTGAATAAATCAAATAAAAACACAGAACAGATGCTTCACTTTGCAAATAACATAAAAATGTAAGACACTCACCTCACCGATTTTTCCGCTGTTGCCCGATTCCACCCTGGGCCTCCTCCTCCTCTCAGATTTCCTCGTTGCCCAACACTCACTCGCAAAAATCATCGATCGCGCGAAATTTCCGGCACTCCCGTACGCGATGTGAAATACCGCGAAACGCACGAAATATTATTAACATCGCGTGACTTTCTGTCACACAAATTACTCAAACTAACACCTTGCGTTTTTAATTCGGAAGGATGGATAAATCACTTTTGAATTGGCGATATAAAACGCAACGCGAGCATCGGAAGCATTGGGAACTTTCCAGCAAGCGACACAAGTCGACACAAGTGTCGTTCTGTCTTTATTATTCATTGAATGCGAAGAAAGACAGAACGACATTTATGTCGACTTGTGTCGCTTGCTGGAAAGCTCCATTAGTCTCGTGAAATATCAATGTATACGCATGTATACGTTAATGAAGAACCGTCGCCTCAACATGCAATTCGTTTCTCGTTACAAGTTGTAGAAACTTAGTAATTAATCAAGGAACATTACTTGTTACTAATAGAGGTGTGTCAATCAATAGTGTTTTATCCCTGCATTCATCGCAATCGAGTCTTGGAAACCGATAACGCACAAGTAATAACACGCACGGAGCGGCTCTCGCTGCTGCCTGCCGGCGCGACGTTCGGCGAGCGAATGAGAGCGCGGACGACCTTCGGGCACACGATGGCACGCAAAAACATCGTACGTCACCGCGCCGAGTGAAAAACAACAAAAAAACGTTGAGAATTCGTTGGCCTGCCTACGCAATGGAAAATTCCGTACTTAATATTTTATTGTACATTACTTTGTTCCGTGACTGTTGCTACGTTTTGCGTATCATTCCGCGGACTTATTGGTATCGATTAAATAAACGATTAATTCTGTTCAATGTATCGAGAAAATGTATCGGAACAATAATCGTTGTTACTTAAATTCTAATTACTAAGATTCGAGATTTTACCTCAATAGTTGGTGTATACAAATGTATTATTTCTAAATTGCAAATCTTCATTTACTATAAATCCAAAAGAGAAGTAAAGCACACCGCGCTTCGAGAAAACTAATCGGCATCGTGGAAAAGATGCCTCAACTATTCGATATTAACGACATTCGCGCTGTTAACATCTCTTTTTTTTTTAGTTTAAAATTGTCTAATGTAGAGATGACGGGTAATATTTTGCATAAAAATATTTCATCTCCTCACATTATAACATAAATACATAAAAAAAAATTATTTCTTTTACTCTTTATACAAAATACAAACAATTCCCTATAAAAACTGTGTGCAATTGATCTATTCCGGCTAAATGCCAGATAGAAAAGAGTGGATTAAATTTGTCAATTCAAATTTCAGTGGGAAAATCATAAACATGGCGAACGAATCAGAAGCTGGACACCGCATGTCCAGACTCTGATCAAAGGGTCTCTAACCAACACTTTCGTCCGTTTCGCTCGCCACCCTTCTCTTTCGTTTTACACTCTTGGGTCTGACCTGACGATCACCCGGTTTATTTGTAGTTCGCTATAGTTCGCTGTTGGTACATAAGTTGTTAACCTTCGTTGAGAGCCGGCGATTTGCTAATGTATTTATGTGCCCTTGTATTAACATTTAGGCAGCTGCACGCGACAACAAATAATGGCGTCAGGTCTGGAGAGTTACGTGAATCGTATCCTTTTTGCATAATTTTACGTTCAACATTCGAATGTGCGAGGACTATATAATCCTAAATCATTGCTTAGATACTGTTTCCATTATCACGTCGGACGGTAGGAATTTCATCGTAAGTACGCAAATTCGCAGGATCGCGAAAGCACCGATGCATACGTATACCGTTGTTGCACTGCAATATATAATTGCGGTAAACGTAATAGAGTTTAACGCTGTGTTTACACTTGTAACTTGGCGTTACTGAATGTCAGTACACTTGGAGAACACTTGAACAGTTTTCGATATTGAAGTTACACTTGTTGGCAGCACGTAATTATATAGCTCGGTTTTTCAAGCGGATTATAACAGAGTTATGCGATAACAATGAACATTTCCAAAGCTCCTCAATTCTCTAATAACGCTTTCAGTTTTTGCAGTGCAAGAGACTAGTCGGTTCTTTAACGATGTCTCGTAGGCGTTTGCATTTCAAAAATTTAGCCATGCAATTGCATTTCTCCAAATAGTTTTCATATCGAGGGCTGTATCTTTTATATTCGTTGGAACGACTCTCGGCTTATCTTGAGACTGAACTCTTGTTTCAGGGAACGCTGAAGGGTTTCGATCAAACTATCAATATAATACTGGACGAATCACATGAACGAGTATACAGTACAACGCAGGGAGTAGAGCAGGTTGTCCTGGGTTTGCACATTATCAGAGGAGATAACGTGTCAGTATAGCTACCTGAGATTAAGCGTACACAGAGTAGTTTGGATAATCGTGTTGTAATATACTTGCTCCTTTTATTATTACATCAGTGTTTGTCGCTAGAAAAATATAGAAAAATAATTTCGCCTCGCACTAATATGCACTTATACGAAAATAAATATTTAACATAAGTATCTCGTGAGAAAATACACGCATTACTTAATCGTGGTATACTTTCTTTTCAGGGCGATAGTAGGAGAGTTGGACGACGAGATGGACGCGAGATTGGATCTGTCGACAATACGAGCGGACCCCTTAAGTTCGATCATACATTGACGTGTGTACCTGAAGTTGCGATTGGAATGGCCCGTCTGCCCTCGTCCAAATTTAAAATAAAACACAATCGCGAGCGTTAGAAAAAAAAAGTAATACAACTTTTCATACAGGTCGTATATTGTACAAAAATCTTTCATTCCTCATATATATATATATATGTGTATATATATATATATATAGACACGTTTACTATGTAATTGTATTTTAAAAAGTGCACAGAGTTAATACAGCGGTATGTACATCATTGAGACAAACCGAAAACTTTTGTTTGAATCAACAATTCTCGTCTGTACAAAAATCTTACTATATATATATTAAATATATATATAATGATAGTAAACTTTACAAATGTAATTTCACTTTATATCTATATAATGTAGTAATAATAATAAACAAAAGTATGTAGATTAACATCGAATAAGGTTTAATTCAGCGAAAAGCGTATATATCCTTAGATTTATCTTAAAGGAGATACGTACAGCTAAAAATTTCTGCCTTGTCGCAGAGTATTACCATTTTATGTAATGCAGACACGCAGGTCTGTGCTACGAAAAAATGAATCAATGGAGGAGATAAGTAATTAACCTGTGCATTTTGAAGGTGTGCAAGAATACAAAGTACTATATATGTTACTTGGGCATGTCTTGTATGATCTCAAGATGAAATTAATTGAAGTAACACCGGAATCGACATACACTCGCGCACGACTTACCCACGTTCTTCAAAGCGTGGAAAAGTACTTGGTTACATACATCTTATTTTGCAAAATCGGTATACATTAATGTCTTTCTTTTACAAAATATTGCAGTTGACTTTAGAATCCTTACAGCCCTACGACACGTTAGTGTCATGTATGTCGATCTACGAATCGCGGATACTAATCTGCGAAAGAAGACAATGCCTGTCTCGCAGACCGCAGACGTTAGTTATTTCTGTGGAAGACAACAAAATTAAATTCAATCGCCTCTATCAACATTCGCCTGAGAGCTTATCTACTTGTTTATCTCTGATTGATTATTTCGGCGAGACTTACGTGTGCTAAGTCTTTTCGTAGAATCTATTTATTGTAAACGAGTGGATACACATTCTTCATCATCTATGTATAAATATTTCTTACATTATAGACTTATACGTTACACGTCTAATTGGTATCCTTGAGAATTATGTGACGAATTACAAACTGGAGTGATGAATCGAATACGTTCGGAGTGTGGGAACACCCTAATTCGTACGTGGTGGTATAAAGAAAAATTGCACGCGTTACGACCTTATCATTCTTGCAACTTAAAAATTACGTATAGCTGTTGCTCGATGATTCCTAGTTTTACAAGTCCTCGATCTACCGATCATAATCATCAATGAACGTGCAGCATCAAATATTTCTCTCGAGTAAATTCTACAGATTTAATTTTATATAAACCAAAAATGTATACACATATAGATAGAATAATAATTTCTTGTAAAGGGTATTTATAAATATTTACATGTGAATATTTTCACAAATTCATAATAGATCTGTAGATCTATGTAAGAAAATGTCTCGATATCGTACCATGGAAATAAATTGGAAAGACTTCAAAGTATGCTTCTGAGTGCACTGCGTGTAGGCGTAAATGCACGCGAACTCTATCGCCCGTGAGAATTATCATCATCAGGTGCTCACAGTTTATTTCCCCTAAATACACCTTTTAATTATTGGTCACCATATTGGTCCTGCTGCGATTTCTCCGGCGGATACGGCCGCCGCGTTGTCTGCTGCCCCAGTCGTCACCTCCCATCGGGGGGCCAAAGTTGGGCCCGTTCGATCCGTTCGGACCGAATGGATCACCGCCGCCACTACCACCGGGTCCAAAATTATTGAAGTTACCACCGCAGGGATAAGGTGGCCCTCCTTCGTAATTGTCCGGGCCAAAGTTACCCGGTGGTCCAGGGCCCAACAGCCCGGCCCCGTTGTTACGCTGCGCGTTGAAACGTGGGTCGAAATTCATCTGACCCTGAGGTGGCATCGGACCGGGGGGCCCGTTCATGCCCATCCCCGGACCGTGCGGCATGCCCATGGGCGGCATATTCTGCGGCGGCATCATAGGCCTCATCGGACCCATGTTACCCATGCCCATCGGATGGTTCGGACCCATCGGGGGACCCATCATACCCTGAGGCGGACCGGGTATGCCGGGTCCACCGGGCAGCGGACCTCCAGGCATGCCAGGTCTCACCTGCATCCCACCAAGACCCATATTAGGTCCCATTGGCTCCATCGGTTGCATCCCTTTCGACATCATCGAAGCATTGGCCGTGTTCTGCGAGGATGACTGCTGACTGGAAGCCGCCGCCTCGAGAGTCTTCCGTCGCGGATCCGAGCGGACGCATTGCGGCGGCGACTTTGGTGTGTCCTGCTTGATTTGCGGCGGCGGCGACATCGGCGAGTCAGCCAGTTGTTCCGGCTTGGAAATACGGAAGATCTTGCGGAGGCGCGGATCGTACTTGACCTGTGCGTCATTCTTCGTTAACTTGAGACCGGTGTAATCCGGCCTGGGTATGTCGACCACATAGACCTTGTACACTATCGGCGGATGCGACGCGATACTCGCGTCGATCTCGGTGCACGGTATGTGCGAGGGCGCCGGCTTGAACGGCAGGCTCAGTATCTGCCGCAGATCCACGTCAGACTTGACGCGTAGATCCGTGTCGCCAAAGTCGCCGGATTGGAAACGCTGTCGGAAGTCCATGTCCTGCCGCCTGAGATCTTGATCCGCTCTCGTACGGAGATCGGTGTCCATGTTCGCGTCCACCGCGGTGATGCCGGAACTGTAGATGCTTGTCTCCAGCCTGAGAGGCTTCTGCGACTCCCTCTTCGCGTCGGAAGATATGCTAGGACTGCTTGGCTTTTGCTCGACCTCTCGTCGTTGCCTAGGATCCCGAGACATTCGTGGATCCCTGGACACAGACACAGTTGCCGAACTCGGACCTGGTGATCGCCTCGGACTCGACGTCTCGCTATCCGTCTTCGTATCTTGTGCCGATTTAGCCTTCGACACGTCTTGATTCGAGGTTGCTGCTTGCTGCGTCTTGCTGCCCGTGGAGCTCTGAGCCTTCAGGGTGGAAAGCAACTTGGATACCTCGGCGCTGATATCGATTTTGCTGAGATCACCTAATTTATCCACAATAGCGGCCGGCTGAGGTACGTTGGATACTGATGTCGCAGGCTGGAATTCCTCCTTGATAACGACATTTTGTGTCTTCTCGACTGGCTCGATCTCGTCTTTCGAACTATCCACTATAGTAAGATTACCCCCCTCGTCGTCATCGTCATCATCATCCTCGTCATCCGAATACCAATCTTCAATTATCTGATCGGGATTAGGTGCGTCGGAATCGTTGTCCATATTTTTCAAACTGTCCTGAGCCGCGCGTTGCTGCTGCTGTATTCGCATAAACAATTCTTGCGCCTTCTTTGGCAAGTTGGGCGGCACCGTCTCGTGTTCATCTAGAGAGGTATCCTGACATTGTTCGCCTGTTAAATACAGATATAATTGCATATTATTTATACGCACAATATTTCAATTATATTAATAATAAAGAGTTTGAAAGCAATATATATACACAATATATCATAATAAAGAAAACAGTATGACAGCATAAGTGAGTAAAAATTAAATCTTATAACATATTAAATATAACTAAAGAAAGTCACAGTGAGATAAACAGCTCTTACTTAGTTCGCTACCAAAGAGCTTTCCTTTTTCCTTGTCCTCATCTTCGGTTGGCACTTCAATAACGAGTTCCGATTCCTCATCTTGATCACTCTCGTCATCGTGTTTATTTCTCGTGAGACTCGCTACTTTATCAGCTATACTATAAACGGGTGGTGGTTTCTTTGCATTCAATAGCTGCCTCAAGTCAACATCTTTTCGCTTTCTCTGCTGCAAATACAAGAAATATAAGTTTCATAGTAATTGTGCGAGTGTCATATTTTTAAGAATTTGAATTTAGCTATAACTAATCATAATTCACAATACTATAAACTCGGGCAATTATACCTCATCCACTATGTCGTCTTCCTTTTCCACATTCTTCGCAAGATTTTCTCTCGTCGTTTCAGTTTTGTTTGACTCTGCAGGTTTTTCGGTATAAAAATCTAAAGGCGCTGCAACTATTTGCTGCTGTTTTTGCTGCTGTATGGCTAAACCTAACGCAGCGTTTGGAAGTTGAAGACCAAGCTCATTTGCTGACTGCAATAGCATAACCTGCTCATAAGGAACTCTATCCTCGTCCGAGCCCCATCGCGTCTTCTTTCCAGAAGGTTTTCTTTCTCTCATATTAGCTTTTTGCTGATTCGTTTGTTCGTCTAGTTAATCAAAAAAGCATGATTTTAGTATAAGAGTTTACACAACTAACAAAGTAATATCACGTTACTTCGTATACAAATTGATTTGTTAAAAGAGGATCACCTTTCTCTTCTTTTTCATCGGTCTTTTCTCCAGGTACTGATAAATTCAATTCGAAGAGACTAGGAATCTTTTGATTCGTTGTATCTTGACCTTGAGCCAGAGAACGTGCTGTGTTATTTATCATTAACATCGCACCCTCTCTACTTAACCTTGGAAAATCGCCAAGAATTTCCTTCGGTGCGGTTTCCAAGTGTTTCAAAAGAATACCTTTTACCTGAACATACAAAGAACCATTTCAGTAAGATCACTTTCAATAATAAATTTAATATAGATAACTCGTTAAATTTTTTATCAGCGCCATATTTTCGTAGCTATACTTATATACTGCAACATTCTGTTGTAAACTAACGTAATTTATTAAGTTACAAAATCACAATGTGTACCTGCTCGTTCAAAGGTTGATGAGAGAATTTACAATTGTCACCCTGATTGCACTTTAAACCAGTATGGAAGAACTTGCAAGGAAAATCATGATGCATGTAGAGGCACTTGTCTCGTTTCGCACAACAATCCATAAGATAGAACTTGCACAACTCCATTTTTCTAGGTGGCAACGCGTTATGCGAGAATGGACACTCGTCCCCTCTGTGACACTTTCCTTGCATATAATATACGCATATCGTGTCCATTTCCTGCGCGTGATCGTTGTTCTGCGGACGACGACCATTTCGGTCATTTCGAAGCTGGCCCCGGGTCTTGTTCTTACCGCGTTCGTTCTTGCCACCGCGACGCCCTGTTGTAAACACGCAAAAGCGTTAAAGGTGATGTAACGTAATCATAATAAGAATCAATTAATTACAGCGCCAGCAATTTTAACTATACAACCATGACAAAATGAGGTATGCGATACTTTATCCATGCGATGCATAATGATATAATTGAGAGAAATGAGATCTCTGTACCTCCTCCTCCACGTCCGGCACCGCGTTTGCTCTCGTTTTCTCTGTGTCGGTTTATGTTGGGCCTTTCCTCGAATTCCGCATTGGTGTCAAAATTCTCATGCTCGTTCGTACGCCTGGGAGAATTGTTCTCTTGGGCGTCCTTCCTGATGGGCGAAGCCCCCCGTACGAACAGCATCTCGTCTTCATCCTCATTCGTGTTCTCGTCATCGCTCAATTTTCGCTTCTACAAAACGTCGCAAGACTTTAGTCGCAAAACAGACGCAGCCCGTGCCTTTATTCGGTGCTGCACCGAGCAAATAATGGGTCTGGTCTTTTCAGAGCTGTACTTGGCTGCGCTGCACAATTTTTATCTTTCTCCCTCCGCACCGAGAAGAGAAAAGATAAACTATCAACTAGCGCAGCCAGTTGAGCTGAGAACAGACCTAATGTTTAATGCATCGAATAGAAACTGCGATATTTCTGTATACCTTCTGCTCTTTACCACGATCCTCCTCTCTCTCCTCGCGTATCCTTTTCCTAACTTTGTTCCTGTTGTTCTTGTTCTTCGCCTTGGGCTCCTGACTCTTGCTGCTGTCCTCCTCCATCGCAGCCTTAATAGCCTTCTCGACATCTCCAGCCCAGTCCTCGGTCGGGCCCTTGTACTTCAAGAACCGATCGTGCTTACCAGCTGCCTGTGCAGCCTGTGGCTTTTTGTTCTTGTTGAACTTTGCATCAAAATTCTTATTCTTCGCAGAGTCTGGCTTTGGTGCTGGCTTGGGAGCCTCCGGTGCGTCATTCGCCGCACGGATGACTGGCTCGTCGTCCTCGTCCGATGGGATTTCTCCATCCTCCAAATCGTTATCGTGGCTGCTGCGCATCAAAGGAAAGAAAGTCAGAATAATAAGACGGGAAAGCATAGAAGCGTCGCAGACGTCTCGCAAGCTACTCTCGATTCTCATATAAGCTACCCTTCGTGTACTAATTCATCTCTTTGGGAGCAACTTCTTACGCGTTACGTTTACTTCCAAGCAGACATTAATACGCGACAATTGTTCAATTCAATACAGGCAGGGCGACCGACTCTCGTGTACAATCATGTAGTTACGAATCCCTCCATTAGAACAAGACGCCTTGGCTCAACGATTGCAACGACGACCGCTGTCATACTCGGTTCCTGCTTTTGACGCTTTTCCGCGCAACGTCATCCCTCGTTTAGATACAAACTAATAAAATATATACGCAATATCGCGTCACTTTACTGAAATACAGTCGTGTGCGTATACACACATACACACACGTGCGTGCACACACGCGATACAATTGCGGCCCTCGTCCGCGCGCAAAAAAAGATTATCGGGCAAGCGTACACGCGGAAAATCGGTCTAGCGCGGGGCGGGATCTACGTTTTCGTTCTCATGCGCCGGCATATCGTTCGGTCATTACTGCTAATACGAGATGAAGCAAGATCTGATGACGCTCGTCTCGGGTTACACGTCGGACACACATCGGCGAGACGCGGTCAGATAAGGATCAATCGGCGTGACGGTTGCGGCGCAACTCGCACGCGGGTCCTCCCGAACCGGGGACTCGAGCCCGCGCCTCATCGGCTCGTACGGGAAAGAGAACGCATCTCTCGACTTATGTTATCACCTCATCGTAATTCATAATAGCCTTGTCTCGGACTATATCACGAGTGTATGGTGGTGGTGGTGGTGGTGGTTGGTAGTGATGGTGGTGGAGCGTGTGCGTGCGTTTCGTACGTGCGTGCGTGCCTCTGTCTGCCTGCGTGCGCCGCGGCGGGCTAAAAATGACGCCGGGGCGAATTCATGAGGACGGACTCGCGATTGTCGCCAAGGTCAAATTGATAGCGCAAGCAGTCATTGAACAGGTCGGCGGACTATATACGTCGCGCGGAGAGGACTCTCTCTCTCTCTCTCTCTGCCTCTCTCGTTCCGCCGCGGGAGGGGGAAGGCTCGGAGCGCGCTTGGGCTGGAACGTGGCGGCGCGCCGCGGTTACTGGTCGTGCCGAAAACATCGAGCCGTCGCGGAAGGAAAGGAGGACGCCGGCCCGAAACCCCGTCGGGGCTTTACGGGGTTACGCGACGTTCGGCGAAGCGACACGTCGGGCACCCGGATCGATCCGAGCCGAGATACGGCGGGAAAGCGGGCGAGGTGCGCGCGCGCGCGGCTACCAAACTGAGAATCACGGCTCCGCGTGAATGCGCGCGCGCGCACGACCTCGGTCGTGCGGATGCACGAAGGGGAAAATGCGACGCGATCGCGATACCCGAGGATGGCGACGTAATGGCGATGCTCCCGATTTCCGGCAACGCGGAGGCTGTCGATTTCTGTCTTGTCCGTTGATGACGCGAGGCGTGGGCGGCAACATAGCTTTTGCGTAATTTGGGGAACGCACTCGCGGTCTCGACTCCCCGGATCTTTCAGCCTGGAGCTCGAGTCTTGAATTCATTCAGAGAAGAAACGTGCACGGAGAGAACGATTTCTTTGAATTTAATAAATTTTATTGTATCCGAAGAAATTTGATACTTGGAATGGTCGAAACAAATCAATGTTTGAATTAGAAATAATATATATATATACATATATCTTTGTCAGAAATAAAATATTTGTTTGAAACAAAAGGAATATTCTCTTTAATCTAAACGATATTGTCGTTTCATTCGAACAACATTATCGTTTTATAGAAAATATGTATGCATACGTATTTCTTCCTCTACATTGGAATTTTTCCTTCATTAGAAGACGAAAGATAAACACTGGATTGGTACATTATGTTCAGCCATAATAAAGAATATGATCATTAAATGATTAAACTGCGTCTACTGATGCGGTCGCTTGGCTGCCGCACACGTTTTTCTCTATCGGATGATTTCAAGAATCGAGCCCCTGATCTACAACGTGCACTTAACGTCCAGCAACACTTTATCCTGTAGCTAATAAATACGTTTAAAAAGCCTTTGCAAGTTGATAAATTGTACACGGCCGAACATTGTCGACACACTTTTTAAGCGTTTTGATTTGCTTATATAAAATGGAATATTTTTTGATGCAAGCACATCGTAGATCAGGCTTTTCTCTCGAAAAGGAGAAGCGATTCGCTAGATTTGCGCGGCAACGAACACGCGTGCCTATGAAGCCTAATCTTCAACGTGTTTTTTGCGTCTAGAAACATTCTACTTTGTAGGCAATAAATACATTCTTTATTATGACTGAACACAGTGTACACTGAGAGACCCATTTTGTTGAATGAAACAAAATTTAGTTGGAAAATTTGGTTATATTAACACACGTTTTGGTTGAGTGAACATGCGCAGAATCCTTTTACAATATTCAACTAAACGATTCAGTCAACAAAATGATTCAATCAAATTATTTCGTTTCATTCGACAAAAAGGGTCTCTCAGTGTGCTAATTCAGTGTTTATCTTTCTTCTTTTAACGAAGGAAAAATTCTAAGGCGAAGGGAGAAAGATGTATGCATATACATTTGTTTTCACATATTTTCTATCAAACGATAATGTTGTTTGAATGAAACGATAACATCGTTTAGATTAGAAAGAACCCAGACAGCACACATGTCTAAAAGGGGCCATAAAGATATCTTTAAGACACCTTTTAGACGTACATGTCTAAAAGATAACTTAATGTGCCTTAAAGATGCCTTTTAGACATTTGTGCTGTCTGGGAATATTCCTTTTGTTTCAAACATTGATTTGTTTCGACCATTCCAAATATCAAATTTGTTTGGATACAATAAAATTGATTAAAACCAAAGAAATCGTTCTCTCTGTGTATTTACACCCAAATTTGAGGGTAAATTCGGACAATCGAGTGTTAACACTCAAAAGTTGAGTGTTTTTTCCCGTAAGGGTGCTAGTTATACTACGTTTTTATCGGACACGGGAGAGACCAAAGGGCACAGGTGCAGAAAATTCTTGAAGCGTTTTGCCCTTTCTACACCCGAGAATGATCCCGCTTGTGGTTCACCCGAGTGGAGAAACTTATACAGGCATTTTAGTATGTGCATCATACTAAAGTATAATATAATTTTTATGATTTCACAACGGCCCGTATTCTGAACCCTCTTTTATCAATAAAAGCGCCTCTATAAAAGCGCGCGGCCAATCAGAAGGCTTCTAGAGGCGCTTTTAGAGGCGCTTTTACTGATAAAAGGGGGTTCGGAGTACGGGCCTGCAATTTTTAACCGCCTTCTCGTGTAGAAATGGCACCTCGCAACGAGAAATGACTAGTCGACCGATGTCGAGTTCGACAGGGTCGATATCAGTGTCAGTTCGACGTCGTTTCGACTAATCATTTCTCACTGGGCTGTACGGAGATTCTGTAACTTGCTACCCATGCTTTTTCGGTATCGTTAACTAGCGACAGCCAATGGCAAAGACGATCTTCGAAAGAGGCACAGCTTTCATGGGTTGTTGATCTAGTCACCGAAAAGCCTCGATAGCAACCCAGTGAGAAATGATCCGACATCGTTTCGACATCGATCGACTAGTCACTTCTCGCTGGGAAGTTACAGAATTTCCGTACTGAATCCACAAACGGTCTCGACACGGCGAGTTTTGTCCGTCTATTTACTCACTCGAATGACACTAGCAAGATCATCCTAAAGTCTGATCTAAAATGTGCTCTTTACGTTTGGAAACGCTCTATTTTGCAGCCAATACATAAAAAAATTAACAACGAAAGAATGTGAATCGCCAATAGTTGATTAATGATAAGATGAATTGTTAGACGACTTTAGGCTGGCGGATGGTTTATTTATTTAAATCCGCCGTTTCGACCATACGAGTCCTAATGTGGTCGTTACATCGGATGGACGTGCCTTCTAACATAGTTCTCCGAGTGATGCCCAGAGATGGATGTCAAACCTCCTGTGTTTTTTAGTTTAATATCAATGACATAATATTATTGTTGAATTCCTTGAGCAGGACCACAAGCCGTGTGGTCGAAACGTCGAATTGAAACAAATAAACCATCCGCCAGCCTAAAGTCGTCTAACAATATTCTTTTTAACGTTACAAAAAATGTGCGCGAGTTGACAAGTTGTACCTTACACATTGTACAACCGTACAATGTCGATAAATCTATTCAGCGTATCGCAAATCAGCGATTTGCTTGTACAAAGTAATAGAATTTTCTAATCGCACATTGCAGAGTAGACTTCAAGATGTAGAAAGGACGCTCGCGGTTACGCGAAATGGCCTGCACGGACCGACGTCGACCGAGGTGTCGACGGTGGTCGAACTCACCGGGGATTATCCGCTGCCATTTGTAAAATCGTCCATTCCGCAAAGTATCGATCGATTACCAAACTAACGTTACAGGTCGCCGCGAGGGACGGCGGTTCTCAAACGAAAATAAAAGAATTGGAGTTGCCTTACCGCTCTCATCGGGTTATCATCATTTCATCATTATTCATCATTATCATCATTATCGTCATCATCAGATCATGATCATCAATAGCATTATGACGAAACGTCATAACGCTGAAGTCATAGTAGCATAACAAGCCGTAGGAACCACCACGTTCTCAACGTCGTCGTCGTTGCAACATTGTCGATTTTAAGGGCGGCATTAAAGCCGATGATGCCGAAGGAGGACATTACGCCGAAAAGCTCTTCGCGTGTCGATTCCCGTTCATTGAAGAGTATCACCCTCTCTATCGCCTCCTGCCCGCCGAGCGTTGCGTGCGTATGTGCGTGTCTTGTGTGTTAAGAGGGTAAAGACTGAAGGTCTTCGGACGCGGGCGATTGTTCTGCCGTGGAAGCGCGTATCTGTTCGTGTATGCGTGAGATTTGCGTTATACAGAGTGACTCGGATATATATCGCTTTTCACTCGTCGACTATGAGAATAATCTATCCCGCGGAACGAGCGAGGTCTTTCTTCTTTAATCTCGCGCGACTGGCCGCGCTTTCTCTCCGCGATCGAAATTCAGATTGATCTCCCACGCCTCGATGACCGATGGAGCGGAGTTTCCGTGAAGCGAAGGATTGTCCGCGTAACAACCGGGTTCCGGTTCGTCGACTCGCGTGTCCGCGAAATCCAAAAACTCTCTTTACTGGGACCGAATGGATCTTGAGGCCGAATCAGACTAGCAATTGTCGACGCGAATTAGACTGGGATTGGCGATTGGTCCTCTAGCCAATGAGAGTCGATTAGATCGCTGGCTGCTTTGCTCACATTGGCTAGAGGATAATCCAACCAATCCGATCCGATCCGAGTCGGCAATTGCTAGCCTGATTCCGGGCCTTTACGCCCGGTTTTTCATTTTCCGATTAACAGTTAACGGGAAAATGAAAAACCGGGCCTTGATAATTTGCAACGAGATTATCGGCGCCACGTTTTTGCCGAGGAACAATTCACTTCGATCGGACAAATTGCGGGGGCTCCGTCGAGGCGGCGCGATATATCCGAGACACCTGATACGTGGCATATACACCGTGAGAAGAAGAATCAACGGATCCCTCCGTGTTCACTTCGTCCTACTTATACACGCGTCGTTGTACGCGCGGGCGTAATCGATCTCCCGTAAGGAGGGAAGAAGAGTCGAAGGGAAGAAGACCTAGGCGATCGGAAGCGACCCGGAAACGATCGATCCGTAGCTACGCGGCGTTCCACCGTTTCCCTACTCGGGATCTTCGTTCGCGAAGCAGATTGGACTCAAAAGGGTTCACTCGTCCGATCGGAGAACCCTGTTCTAGAACGTTTTTAGATAAAATTTCGATAAAGCAATGCAAAGTTCTCGCGATCTCGCTATCCGAAGTATTCCGCCGGTTGTATTCTATAAATAAAAACAAGCCCAAGTTGCGCGCGGCAACACTCTTCTCCGTGTATCTGCTTCTCTCTCTCTCTCTCCCCCCCCCTCTCACTTTCTTTCTCTCGCCAAAAGTGCACCCCGACCTAATTCCGAAAATAGTCCGCCGGGACACCCGCGGGATCGCAATCGGCCCTCGAGAACAATCGCGGCGCCGTATCGACGAGGATTGCGGGACAACGGCCTTGACCTCCCGTCCACCCCGCTTCCATGCGGGCGATCGATTCGCCGTGTACCCCGAAGGGAGAAAACTGAGCGATCGGACGGGCGCCCTTTTCCGCCCCCTGAGAAAATTCGGAGAAAAGCTGCGAAGATCGCAACGAGACGCGAAGCGTTATTTTATGGAGGAGGCACGTCGAAATCGAACGATATCGCTCTCTTTCCGTCGGTACGATGAGGGAGGGGGGGGGATGCGTCACGAGGAGGAGGGGGACGGAGGGGCAGAGGAGCTAGAGATATGCGTGTGTCTGTGTGCGTGTTATGCGAGGTGTTTGCACGTATGCAAATGTACGTGTACGTCCGTATAGGCGTATGCGTCCGTATGCGTGAGCATGATGATTGCATAGTCACTCGCGAACAACTCGTCCTTCCTTCGCCTTTCGTAGCCCACATTTACGGCCGGCCGAGGCCCGAAAACCGACAATATCTAGCGAAAGTGTTACGGTAGTATATAGTTTAGGAGGCAAACCTTTGGATCAGAGTCTCTGCCGCGGAAACACTCTCTACTGCCATTTTCGCTTTCGGTTCCGCAAGATCGAGCTCCCTCGATCTGTCGCGCGTTATGCGCTCCCGGTGGTACCCCGGTGTGACGTACCCGAGTTTCCTATATCAAGCACTATATGCGGCCGTCCGGATCGGCCGGAGACGGCGGATCATACGATCGATTCGCCCGACCACACTCGACAGGTCTTTGCTCCGGCGTAATAATCGCGTCGCCCGTGCGCTAGCATTTGGGAGAGCCTGAATAAGCGCTCCGCATACGTGACTGTAAACTGCAAAATGATTGATTCTTTTTCGATTAGCTCTCTTTTTCTCGCTTGCTCCGTCGTGCCGCTCTCTCTCTCTCCCTCTCTCTCTCCTTTTCTCCCGAAAACGAACGTCTCTGGGCCCCGGAAAAGCAATTTTTTCTTACGTCTCGGAGAAACTTACGCGTTTTCCTCTCTCATTTTCGGGGTCGCTTTGTTACATTCTTTTCGTTTTCTCTGCCACAAAGATTCTCTCGCGTATCATCGACAGGGTTTTGCGTTACAGAGGCAGGCAAGCCTTTCTCTCGGAGGTCTTTCTCCTACGAACTGAATAGACGCGTTATACCGTGCACTTTTCCCGGCTGGCCTTCCACCCTCGGTCTCCCTCTTTCTCTCCCTCGCCGAGGGCGGGATACCAATCTCTCTCTCTCCCTTTTCTCCTTCACTAGCGAAAAAATCTCTCGCCCCCTCGCGCGGGTCCCTCTTTCCCCGAGCTCAAGTGAGCCGCGCGTGAAAATTGGAATACGGTCAGATCGCGCGAGCCTCCTTTCCTCGCCGTCGCCGCGAGTACGACGTCATTCGGGCTGACGTGGCAGCGTATGGCTCCGACCCAGCGACGAACGCTCGTTCGTGTGGGCGTCTCTCTCTCTCTCTCTCTCTCTCCCGTGGCGATTATCTTTTTACCTACCCACCCTGTCCGCCTGGCTTTGCTTGCCTTGCCTGTGTTTGCCTGCCCGTCTGCCTGCCTGCCTGCCCCCCGCCGGCCTCCGTTTGTGTGTCTGAGTGTGACGTCGTTGCGTGTGCGACCTCGTGTGCGCGCGCGACGTGTCCGGAACGGAAGTGCGACGCGCTGAAAATGGGAACGCGCTCGCGCGTGCGTACTCGTCGTCGAGAACCCGCCGGAAAACGAGACCCCCCCCCCCGTCCCGAAAAAAAAGAGGGAGAAGAAGAAAGCGGCTCT